CCCGCGCCCTGCCGGGCCAACGCCTCGGTGGCCGCGCTGCCGGCCTTCGGGGGGCAGCCGCAGCACGTGCGCGACTTCCTGCTGTACAAGCACTGCCGCGACTTCCCGCTGCTGCAGGACGCGCCGCGCGACAAGTGCGCGCCGCCCGTCTTCCTGCTGCTGGTCATCAAGTCCTCGCCGCACAACTACGAGCGCCGCGACCTGCTGCGCCGCACCTGGGGCCGCGAGCGCCAGGTGAGGGGCGCCGCGCTGCGCCGCCTCTTCCTGGTGGGCACCGCGCCCGACCCGCTGGAGGCCCACAAGGTCAACCGGCTGCTGGCCATGGAGGCGCGCGCGCACGGCGACATCCTGCAGTGGGACTTCCACGACTCCTTCTTCAACCTCACGCTCAAGCAGGTGGGCCGGCCGGGCCCCCCCCCCCACTGTCCCCACCTGCTCTGCCGCCTGCTTCCCCTGGGGAGGCCTGAGGCGACAAGCCTGGGTGGAATCCAGGCTCCGCTTCCTGCTTGCCGTTCGCCTTCGCTGATCCTCCCCTCTCTGTGCCTCAGTTTCCTCATCAGGGAAATGGGACCTGAGTTGGACCCACCCGCCCCTGAGGGCTGCGGTGAGGGTTGCAGGGGATGGTGTTTATGGGCACCTGGAGCAGCGTCTGCTGCCCAAATAACCTTCGCAGTCGGGAGAGGGCGGAGGCGCAGCACACGTCCTGTTCATTCGCTCTGGTTCTGTCTCTGCGTGAGGCCTGGGTGTGGGCGGCAGGGGCTCAGGAAAGACCTTTCTGATGGACAAGAACCGTGAGAGGTGGAGAGCATCCTGCCCGTGCGCAGACGAGGAACTGGAGGCTCCGGGGAGCCGCTCAGGTCGGGGCTGGAGCAGCGGGGTGTGGACCTGAGCTGGGGGCGCCCAGTGCAGGGTCCGCCTGGTCGCAGGCACAGACAGGCTTCCCTGTGACCTCGCTCTGGAGAGCCTCTCTTTTCTCCCCTGTACCCGGGTGGAACAGCGCGCCTGCCTCCCGGGTGGCGTTAGGGGTGGGAGGCGAGGCGCACACGGGACCCCGTGCCCGGCAGGGCAGACGCGCTGATGGTGGCGCCGGAGCGGAGGCAGGGCGAGGGCCAGAGCCGCTCGGCACGCCGTGTTCCTCAGGCGGGACGCGCAAGCAGAGGACAACCGCCAACCCGACGAGCGTGAACCCGGCACCTACGAAGCGTTGGCCCCCGCCGGGTGCCGGGTGCCGGGGGGCGGCAGGGGCAGACGCGGCCCCGCCCGGGGGCCCGGAGGCGGGGGCCGGCGTGAGGCAGCGGTCGCGCACGTGGCTGTGCGGCGGCAGCGCTCGGCCGGCCGAGTCGGGAGGGCTGGCGGTCAGCGTAGCGCGCGTCCCCAGCGCCTGTCGCGCGTCCCCAGCGCCTGTCGCGCCTCGCGGGATATCGTCTCGCGGGTCCCCGCGCTCAGGAGGCGGTCTGGAAGGCGGGGACGGGCGTGGAGAGGGGCGGCTGTCTGCTGAGGGCCCCGCGGCCGACCGCCCGTGCCTCGCCCGCAGGTGCTCTTCCTGCGCTGGCAGGAGACTCGGTGCCCCAACGCCAGCTTCCTGCTCAACGGGGACGATGACGTCTTTGCCCACACAGACAACATGGTCTCCTACCTGCGGGACCACAGCCCTGACCACCACCTCTTCGTGGGGCACCTGATCCGCGACGTGGGCCCCATCCGTGACCCCTGGAGCAAGTACTACGTGCCCGAGGTGGTGACGCCGGAGGAGCGCTACCCGCCCTACTGCGGGGGCGGCGGCTTCCTCCTGTCGCGCTTCACGGCGGCCGCCCTGCGCCGGGCCGCGCGCCGCCTGGAGCTCTTCCCCATCGACGACGTCTTCCTGGGCATGTGCCTGCGGCAGGAGGGGCTGGCGCCCGCCTCGCACAGCGGCGTCCGCACGGCCGGCGTCGGCGCCCCCTCGGCTCGCACGTCGTCCTTTGACCCCTGTTTCTACCGCGAGCTGCTGCTGGTGCACCGCTTCTTGCCCTACGAGATGCTGCTGATGTGGGACGCGCTGAGCCGGCCCAATCTCGCCTGCGGCAAGCGGACACAGGTCTACTGAGGGGGTGTCGGGGCCCCAGCCTCTAGGCTCCTGTCTCCACCCCGGGAGGAAGCGGTAGTGTCTCCCCCCAGGAAGCTGAGACCTTTGTCCCCCTAAGTGGGCCAGGCATAGGGCAGTGCCAGGGAGAGTTTGATGACTGAATAGTCTGGCTGGTGAACTCCTACACATCCTTCAAAATCCACATGGTACTGCTTAGACCCTGTTCCATTGTCCTCCCCAGACTCAGCTGGAGGGACCGTCTCGTTCCATGGCAGCTAATGGCAGAAGCACTTCTGCTAGGGTCCAGCTGCTCCTGGTACATCCATCCCGTTTGAATCAAGGTCCCACTTCCCAGCTCTGACCTGGATCGTGGGCTGGGCTCTGCACAGTGTCTGGCCTCTCCTCGGTCACGGACCTGCAGTGGTTGGATGGTAGGTGAGTTCCGGCCACAGGTCAAGGCCCGTTGGGAACTCCTGGGTCCACATGCAGCTGAAGCGAGAAGCATTTTTCAGCCAAGGAAAGAGGCGTTCTGTCCTCGACCCCTCCCCGGGTCTGGACCCCTCCCTGCTTGTGGTGTCAGGTGCCCTGATGGTGGGCATGTCGGGCAGAGGAGGGGGCCGCCAGCAGTCTCAGGCTCTGGGAGCTCAGGATCCCTGGCAGGGCCCAGCCCCCACACCTGCGCTCCCCAAGAATTCAGGGATCAGCCTGGGGCCAGAGGGGTCTTCACGCACCCGAGGCCAGCACACTCACTCACCCGGTGCCCAGGGAAGGGGAGACTCAGGGCCTTGGGTGGCTCTGCGCGCTCGGGACCCAGGACAGCCCTCCAGTGTGTCTTTCAGGTTGAGGAGATCCAAGCAGACGGGTGACCCCCAACCCTGCTGGGCTCAGACAGGTGTCTGCACTTGGGCTTCATAGGCATGGGGGCAGGGGCAGGGGCCCTCTGACGGCGAAGTCAGGACTGGGGAGTGGGTCCTCAGGGAATAAAATGTTTTGTGAAGACCTGGAGTCTGTTTTTTTTTTTTTAAGTGATTTATAGGTTTTAACTCAGACCAGTCTACATCCATCTGTAAAAGTTTCATTTCCAGTAGGAAATATACACCGGTAAAAACAGCGTGGATGAGTGGGGGCTGCAGGAGTATCTGACCTCATCCTGCTCCTGCTCCTGCTCACACACCCTCTATGGCTCCCTACTGCCCTTAGCTCATATCCCCCAAGACTGATTCTCACTGCTGGCGTGACAGCAGCCTCAGGAGGGAGGCACAGGGCCACTCCTTCCGCATCCACCTACCCTCCGCTCTCTCCGCTGGCTCACCTCCTCCCACTGGGACCACAGTTCTGCTGTCCTCTTGCTCCCTCCTTCTCGCCCTTCCAGTATTTCTTGTGCATTTACTGTGTCCTCTGTGCCCGTCCTGGACTCCTGCTCCCAGCCCCACGGGAAGGTCAGGGGCTACTGACCCACCTTAGAGCAAGGAAACCAACCTGTGAATGATCACGTAGGAAGTTTCCAGAAGTGGTCAGAGCTTTGAAGAGAATTGAAATGAGGCCACTGGACACAGCGATGAGGATGAGTATTCACCAGGCAGTCAGGGGCCTGGGACTGCAGAGGTGACATTGGAGCAGGGGCCTGAGGGAGGAGGACATGGCCTTGGGGAGAACCGGGAGAAGGGTGTTCCAGGCAGAGGTCACAGCATGTGCAAAGGCCCTGAGGTGGGTGATCTGGGAGCACTTGAGTTGCAGTGAAGAGGCCGTGGCTGGAGCTGGGTGAGTACAGAGGATATGGAGGAAGAGGGATATGGGGTCCTGGGGGCTAGCTACACGGGAGCTTGTGGACTGGGGTGAGGGGATAATGTTTTGAGGGTGGTGGCACCTTTGGAGCAAGGAAATGAGCTGATTGATTTCTAAGTTTTAAGAAGCCCTGTGGCTGCCGTGGGGACTGTTGGAAGGGAGGTGGAGGCCGAGGCAGCGTCCCAGCAAGAGAAGGCAGGCCTGGGTGGGGTGGGGCTGCAGGGGTTTCTACCAGGTAGATCTGACCTGTCCTGCCCCTCTCACACACCTTCTGTGGCTCCCTCTCACCCTCTGGAGAGAGTGCTGCTCCCCTGCTGTGCTGGCCCGAATAGTGGCCCCCAAAAGTGCACATCCGCCTGGAATCACAGAACGTGGCCTCGTTTGGCAGTAGTCTTCACAGATGTCATTAAGGTAGGGATGGGGATGGGATCCTCCTGGGTTAGGGTGTGCCCCAAATCCAAAGAGAGTGTCCTTGTAAGAGACAGGAGATTAGACACAGAGAAAGCCGTGTGAAGAGGGAGGAGCGGTTGGAGTGATGCATTTATAAGCCAAAAAATGCCAAGGATTGCCGGCAGCCACCAAAACGTGGAGGGGGCAGGGGACAGATTTTTCCTCAGTGCCTCTCAAAGAGAACCACCCTGCCGACCCTTGACTCTGACTTCTGGCCTCTAGCACTGTGGGGGAATGAATTTCTACTATCTTAAGCCACTCAGTTTGTGGTCATTTGTTGCGGCAGCCTTAGCAATCGAATACACATGTGAACAGATCACATAGTCAAATGTTTATCATTCTTATGAGGGGGTCATATCATACAATCCCCATCCCAGGATGAAGGGAGGGTATAAGTGAGAAGAATGGTCAGGGTTGGATCCATAAATGTCCCTGGTGACTCATTCAGACACTCGGGTGCGTGTCCACCATGAGCAGAGGTGAGGGGAGGTCCAGGCCTCCTGTGGCCTCAACAGAGCCCTGGGTTCACACCTGCATGTGGCCATCCCCTCCCTGGCTGGTCTTGGCAAGCGGCCATCTCCCTAGGCTTCCGTTTCCCCACTTTATATCGTGCTGACGCTCGAATTGTTATCGAGTCCCTGGAAGTGTGGGCAGGGTCACAGCTGCCAGGGGACAATCCCACGGGAAGGCTGACCCAAGCGTGTCCCTTTTTCTTGAGAAAATGCAAAAAACTGCTCAGGATTCTGCAGCGCCTTATTTATTCTCTACTGGGAGACAGCACAAAGGGGCGCCACAAATGCAGGGAGGGCGGCGCCAGGCCCTCGGACGGGAGGACATCTGGCCCTCAGTGTCTGGCATCGCCATAAAACTGAGGGTGCCCCCGCCAGGGTTGGGTTGTGGCTTTTGTCCTCAGTTGGCCCCACAGAGGACAAGTGGCCTGGGAGAGGTGGTGAGCTCCCTGTTCTAGAAGATAATCATCAGTGTCCCCCGGGACGTGGGGCTTTACGGTGCCGCGTGGCTTCAGGAGCTCGCCAGACCAGACCCCTCTGGGCCCTGGGCTCCCCCGAGGCCACGCCCCAGGAGGGCTCAGTGGGGACAGAGTGTCAGCAGGTCCTGCCGGGTGCAGCCGCTGAGGCAGCAGTGGTGGGCAGGGTTGGTGGCAGCTGCCCGGCGGTGGTGGCGGTGGCGAGAGGCCTGAGACGGGGGCGGTGGGGCGAGTGCCAGCGAGGGGTCCCCGTCAGCCGGCAGCCCGCGGAGGAGATGTCGTCCCTCCAGCCACTGCAGCAGCTCACCTGGGGACAGAGCAGAGTCACGGATGGGGACCCAGAGAACCCCATGCTGCGTGCACCTGCACGCTCACGTCCCGCTGAGTGACCCGCCAAACACTCATCATGCACTTATTAAAGCACTTACTGAGTGCCTGCTGTATGCTGAGCACAGATTTAATCCCTCATCCAGGCGCACACATTCCCAACCCATACTCACACGCAAGTCCCCAGCTGTGCACATTCCCATGTGAGCAGAAGACAGCAGTGGTGACGTGACACATACATGTGCACGTGTATGCAGGCAGTGGGCACACACAGGTACACCCTCAATATCCCCTCCCAGTCCCCATCCCCATACACGCCTCTGCACACCCATCTGCACCCGTGTCACACAGACCATGCACGCAGGACACACGTGTGACACACGTGCACACAAACCTGTTTCATACCCTCTGCACCAGGGCTGGGACTCGGGTGAGAGCGACGTGCTGGCTTTGGTGCACAATTTAAAGGGGCGCCAAAAACCCAACAATCAAGATCAATCATATTTGTGTGTGTGTGTGTGAGGAGATCAGCCCTGTGCTAACATCTGCCTCCTCCTCTTTTTGCTGAGGAAGACTGGCCCTGGGCTAACATCCATGCCCATCTTCCTCCACTTTACGTGGGACGCCGCCACAGCATGGCTTGACAAGCGGTGCGTCGGTGCGCGCCTGGGATGCGAACCAGCGAACCCCAGGCCGCCGCAGCGGTGCGCGCGCACTTAACCGCTTGCGCCACTGGGCCGGCCCCAGGATCAATCATATTTTAATGCAATGTTTCTAAAAACCAAAATTAATAAAAATTCATGAGGATCAAAATACTGAAGTTGTAAATAAAGGCAGGATCCGACCGTGCACTTGGAAGACTGCCTCGCTCTGCCTGATTCCCGCCGGGCAGGGGCCGCGTCCTCCGCGGATGCGCGCACACCCGCGCAGCGGCAGGTAGACCCTGGACGTGCGGGCATAGCCGCCCGCCTGCCGGGGACGCGCACTTGCCCCCCTAGAGACCCAGGGCGCGGTCCTCGCCCGCCTGCACTCACGGTCGCCGCCAGCCACGGGCCGCCTGTCCCCGGGGGACCAGCGCGGGCCCCCGCACACCCGCACCAGCGCGCGCACGAAGTGGTGGCCGCACAGCTTCTCCGGCGCCTCCGGGGCGGGCGCGCCCCCCAGCGCAAGCGCCAGGGCCGGGCCCAGCAGCAGCAGCGCCCAGGCGCGCCGGCGGGGGTCCATGGCGGCGGGAGGCGCCCGGCCCCAGCTGGGACCCCCCCTTATAGGCGCCCAGCCCGGGCCAGCTGGGGGCCTTGGAGGGGAACAGAGCGTTCCGCGGGATGGTCCAGGGAGAAGGTCAAGGGCCGGGTCAGGGCGAGTGCAGTGTAAAGCCCTGACGAGTGGGTTTCTCGTGCAACGCAGGTGCCTGACTGAAGCTTGGATCCCCCCGACACCGCTTCAAGGGTGGCAGCCGCCTCACACACGTCGCCAGCACACCGCTGGGTACCTGGGGCGGCTGGCCCACCCAGGCGCCTCTCCGTTAGAGACCTTGCTGGATCTCAGTTATGACCATTCGGTCCGCTTGTTTCTTCTCTTCCCCTCACTTTATATTCCAGCTCATTCCTGCTCGCAATAAAGGGTGACCTCGACCCCAACAAAAGCAGAGCCTGAGGCCCATGTGCCCACTCTCTCTCTCCCCTTGACCTCACTGTGCAGCTCCAGGTGTGCCGTGTAATTCCCAGGCGTGCCGTGTGACCCCAGGCGTGCCGTGTAATTCCCAGGCGTGCCGTGTAATTCCCAGGCGTGCCGTGTGGCCCCAAGCGTGCCGTGTAATTCCCAGGCATGCCGTGTAATTCCCAGGCGTGCTGTGTGGCCCCAGGTGTGCGGTGTAATTCCCAGCTCCTGTGAGTAATAAACCTTTATTTTTTCAAAGTTTTCTGATGGTTATGGCTGAAGGGCGTCTTACCGTCATAAGAACCACAAGGGCCGGTTCAACCACAGCACTGGATTGGCTGAGACCGGCACAGAACAGCAAGAGTCTGTGTCCCTGGGCCAGGGCCTTGGATGTACCTCCCCCAGGGGGAGCACTCGTTGAGTCTATTTTTTTAAAACCATTTTAAAGAGGTGAAATAGATAAACTGAGAAAGAATCATTCCATGGGGCGGGCTGGGCATCCAGCAACTGAGACCAGGGACATTCAGAATCTTGTTTTCCTTATTACTGTACAAAGAAGGAGACTGAGGCTCAGAGAGGGTGCCCCACGCGTGCCCAAGGTCGCAGGCTGCTGGGCGCTGGGGCTGGCGGTGCTGGCCGGCTCTGCCTCTCCCCCGGCAGCGTCTCCGTGGGCTGGGCCATGGCTGGAGGACCAAGAGCAAAGCTGGCTGTGAGCGCTCAGTGTCTGCTTGGTGCCAGCCCAGCGCCCAGGAGGCCTCATGACCCTGTCTCACCAAGCAGGGGAGCTAAGGCAGAGAGAGAAGACACTCGACCCACGGCGGGGGACAGCCTGAGCTGAAGCCCCATCTTGCTGAGCCCAGTGCCGCCCCCTCCCTTCGCCACAAGGCAGGCGGCTTTTCCTAAGTCAGGCACAGAGATCTGTCTCTCTCTCCCTGTGTCTCTCTCTACCTCTGTGTCTCTCCAGCAGTCCTGAGGTGCACATGGGGGACTCGTGCGGCACCCCCAATGTTGGACCCCTCCCCACAGCCTAGCCCTCCCAGCCCAGCCTTGCCCTCTGACCCCCCCAGAGCAGCCTGTTCCCTCCACCCACCCAGAGCCCGTAATCAGCTCCCCAGGACAGAGCCAAGGCCAGCAGCTGGGGCTCGGGGGAAAGGCTCTGTCCTCCAGGGCCCAGGCCAGCGGCCGCCCTGCTGTCCCTCCTCCCCCGGCCTGCCCTCAGGCCCCCACTGTGGCCCCCAGTGGTCTCTATCCTCCAGCCCTAACTGCACCCCTCCCCAGCTCACATCCCCCCAAAGGCTCCCCAACATCCAAGTCCAACACAAACCTTTCTTTCCCCTGAACTCCTTTATTCATTCATCAAACACTCCAAGTGCCCTCTGTGCCTACCCGAGCCCAGCCCCCAAGGAGCCTCCAGGTCAGACAGACACCACCCCAGCCCTAGCGTCAGAGGGAAGTACAGGGCTGGTGGGGAGAGGTGGGAGCACGCCAGGGAGGGCTGCAGGGAGAGGAAAGCTGGGGTTTTCAGAGATAAATAAGAGTTTTCCAGGAAAGCAAAAGTGGCAGAGAAGCCTCGCAGGCAGACGAGGAGTGACGGGGGCTTAGCCTGCACAAGGCGCCTTCTCACAAGCCTCCAAAAGTTGACTCTGCACGGCACTGTTGCTCTGCCCATTGTACACGGGATGGAACTGAGACCCAAAAGGGGAAGCAACTTGCCCACTTCACACAGCAAATAAGTGGCAGACCCATGGGCTCCAACATCTGGGCTTTTGACCTCTGTACTCTGAGCCTCCTCACTCTTCCCATGCTGTTCCCTCTGCCAAGAATACCTTTCCTTCCCTCAACTGCTGAAAAGCTCCTGTTAGGCTCCAGTGTCATCAACTGCATGACTCTCTGGTCAGGACAGAAAGGGCCCCGGTGTACAGGCGGAGAAACTGAAGTCCCAGGACACTCAGGTACAGTTAGGACTGGGACCCCGGCCTCTCCTGGCCGCTTACACGGTCCCCAGTCACAGTCTCCCCCAAAAGCGAATTTCCAGCGAGGGCAGCTGCTCTCGTCCTCAGCTTGCTCCAGCGAAAGGCAGGGGGCACGGAAGCCTGAGATCAGATAGTTAAAGCTACATAGCATCCCCACTGGAAATGAGACAGGACGCTCAGGGCCAGGCCCCAGGAGGAGGCGAGGATGGGAGGGGCTGAAACTCCCTCCTGGGATGGGGGGCGGGGCTCGGCAGGCCCTACCCGTGCATCTGTCTTGACTCTTTACAAGCTCCAAAGGCCACAAGGCTGCTGTTGCTCTGCAAGCCAGGGGTGCCCCCCAAAGGCAATGTCCTTTGCCCCATGGGGGTCTCCGTGAAGCAGGAGGCCCAGAGACGGGTGGGTCCCTGCCCAAGGTCACACAGCCAGTCCCTGGAAGCCAGAACCCAGAGATCTGTGTGCAGGAGATATAAAATGACAGTGAGGGGGTGTCCTCCGGACAAGCAGGGAAGCGCGGTCTCAGGGCTCTGGACACTACCCCCGGCTCCCACTCCACAGCGCATCCAGCTGGGGGCCCAGGGCGCTGAATGGCGGCCGGTCTTGCGGGCTTGGGGCCCAGCACAGCTTCATGAGCTCATGAACCTGAGGGCGAGGGAGGAGACAACAGGGTCGCATGTCAGCAGTGGGAAGCACATGACACCTGTTCAGCTTTCAGATATAAATTAGACTCCATCCCTCCCCTGCTCCAAAGCCTCCCGTGGCTCTCTTAGAACAAAACCTCATCCCCTCCTCTGCCTCCCTCCCTCCATCATCTCCCTCCATCACCTCTTGCCTGTTCCAGGCAGCCACATCTGCTCCCATCTCATTGAAGTGCCCCAAGCTCATTCCCACCTCAGGGCCTTTGCACCTGCTGTGTCCTCCACTGAAAATGCCCTCTCCCAGCTTTCCTCAGTGGTGGGCTCCTCCTCCTTCAGTCATCAACCCCTCTGAGAGGCCCTCCCTAACCCACCCCCATCGTTTTCCTCTCTTCATCTTTCCAGACACTGATCACCACCAGAATGTCCTTGTTAGCTTCTGTTGATTATGAGGAGGGCAGGGTAGTGTCTGTTTTGTCCCCTCAGAGCCCAGCACACAGCTGGTGCTCAATAAATGTTTGTGGCCCGAGCGAATTAATTTATGAATGACCAACCTCACGTTAGACACTTCCACAAAGCTGTGATGATAAACCAGAAGAGTCACCACCATTTACTGGGTGCTGACTGTGTGCAGGGCTCTGAGATGAGCACTGGAGAGGCGTTAACTCTTCTGATCCTCCCCTACCCTGTAAGGCACTGTTATTCCCATTTTTAAAGATAGGTAAACTGAGGCTCTGAAAGTGTGTGTAACTTGCCATACAATGAAAGAGCACAAAGTAGAGGCCACAACCCCTCTGGCCTCAGGCCCCAGCCGGTGCTCTGCTCTCCATCAAAAGACCCAGAGGGGCCAGCTGGCCTGCCGGAGACCCCAGGCGAAGCTACAGAGTGGGAGACTGAAGCCGACTGTGCAGCACTCACCTCGGCAGGGCAGGCAGGAGGCGCGGGCAGCCTCTGGCCCTCGGCCAGCAGCTCCAGGAGGCGGCAGAGGGCCGGGACGTCTCGCTCACATCCCATCATCCGCAGGAACTCCTGGGGCCGAGAGGGAGCGCCCGTGAGGGGGGGGGGGCCGCCCGTGGGGGAGGGTCAGCCATAGCGAAGGGAAATCCTCCCCTGTTCAGGGCCTATGATGCTGGGCCCAGGTGACTGAGCAAAAGAGGGCCGCGGGCACAGACAGGGCGGGGAGTTGGTGGGGAGGGTGCTGGGAATCCAGGGGTGCCGACTCACGGCAGAGGGGCTGCAGCTCTTGTCGCCGTAGGTGAAGAGCTCGTACAGGACCACCCCGAAGCTCCAGACGTCCGACTGGCGCGAGAAGATGTTGTCGGAGAGGGACTCCGGGGCGTACCTGGAGGGGGGCAGGGAGGTCTTGGGATGCAGGGAAAGCGGGCAGCCTCGGGCTGGGGGAGCTGTCAGCGTCAGGGGACTGCGAGAGGGTCACGCCCAGCTCCCGGGTCTGCTTCCCCGGCTGTGGGTGAAGGGATTCCCCTACACTGCGGCGGGTCGGGGCGGAGCCGAGGCTGCGGGGGCGGGACCAGTGTTGAGGGGCGGGGCCTGAGAGGGACCGGGCTGTGCGGAGGGCGGGGCCAGTGCACCGGGAGGCGGGGCGGGGCCAGGACAGTGGGGGGAAGGGCGGGGCCGGGGCGGGGTCCCCACCAGAAGATGGGGCTCTGGCCCGGCTCGCGGACCACGTAGTAGTCTTTGTCCAGCGGCAGCAGCTTGGCGAGGCCGAAGTCGGCGATCTTGACGTGCGTCTCGCTCTCTACCAGGATGTTCCGAGCTGCCAGGTCGCGGTGCACGCAGCGGCGGGAGCCCAGGTACTCCATGCCCTGCGGGCGGGCGCGGGGTACGGACCCCAGGATGACCGGGCAGGGGCCCAAGCCTGACCTGGAATCTACCCCCAACCCAACCCAGACCAGAAGCCTAAGCCTACCCTACCCCTGACCCATCCTGCACCCCAGTCCTGACCTTAGCCCTAACTCAGCCCCACCTGCAACCCAACCCGGACCCCAGACCTCAACCCCCAGCCTTCCCCGCGGCTCCATGCAGACCAGCTCGGCCCCGCAGGTCTCGGGGCGCCCTGCCCTCACGGCCGCCTCGCACCTTGCAGATCTGCGAGGCGTAGAGGAGCAGGCGGCCGGCGTCGAGGCGCGCGCGGTGCCGCTGCAGGAAGTCGCGCAGGCAGCCGCTGGGCAGGTACTCCATGACCAGCCGCAGGCTCTGGCGGCCTGGGGGGCAGGGGAGGAGGGGAGCGTCACCACGGGGCCCCACTCTGTCTCCTCCGCCTCCCCATTCTTCCTCTCCGTTCAGAGTGGGACCTTGGCTCCCGCTCGGCCTCGGTATTGCTGTCTATGAAATGGGAACGGCAACAGTGCCACTTATCGTTAATGTCTCTTGACCTCCTAATGACTCATTTTTCAGGTGGGGAAATGGACGCTCAGAGAGGTTAAATTGCCTGCCCAAGGTCACCCAGCTGCTAAGGGATAGAGCTGGAATTTGAACCCATGGCTCGTCTGAATCTGGATAGACCAGAGCACCCATAGCGACCCTGCTGGTGTTCCCAGTCCCCCTCAAATGGCACTGCAGCAGGATGAGGCCAGGCGTGTGAGGCGCCCTCTTGGGGGGTGGCTCACCTGGGCCATAGCTCACGCCGCGGTACTTGACGATGAAGTCGCTGTGGAGGGCTTTGAGGATCTGGATCTCCCGCTGGAAGTCCCTCTGCTGGTCTGGCCCGCTGTGCTGCAGCTGCTTCACGGCCACCAGGGCGCCTGTGTTGTCGCCCAGCGGGTCATAGCGGCACAGTTCCACGCTGCCAAAGTTGCCCTGGGGGACGGTGGGGCTGGTGTCCACGTGCATGGGTGCTGCTCCGCCCAGCCCAGCACAGCCCAGCCCAGCCCACCTCACCTTGCCCAGCTGCGAGATGTACTTGAGGTGTCTCTCCTCAAAGATGGTGGGGTCCTGGCAGGCGTAGAGCTGGGCACCATTCCACAGCCCGTCACGGGGAGCCAGGGCACCAGGAGTGGGGTCCGAGAGGAGCTCGTAATCTGGGGGGCACAGGCAGTAAGTGGGCAGCACATTGGGCTCTGGGCCCTTCTTCTAGGCTGACTTGCTGTGTGACCTCGATCCACATGCTTACCCTCTCTGTGCATTGCAGGGCCACTGCAAGCCAAAGGGTACTTTGTGGGGGCTGGAAAATGGTGCTCCTAGGGCAAAGGCAGCCCCCTTATGCAGTGCACACCCTGTGCAACTACACATGGCTATGAAGACAGAAGGGCATTTCCCAGACTCCACTGCTGTGAGATGTGGTCACGTGACTGAGCTCAGGCTGATGGGGAGGACCTGCTGGGTGCCCTTCAGGCCTGGCCCATGCAAACCTAGCATGGGCCCCCTACTCTCTCTCCTGTCTGCAGAGGATCCAGCAGGAACCTGAGGCCATGGGGTGGGAGGAGCCACAAAGGGAGAGGTGCCCGTTGCCCTGGACACCCTCACCGACTGGGAAGTAAACATGCATCAGCTCATGTTACCTTGAGCTGAGGGCCTGTTTCTCACAGCAGCTGTCAAAGCCCCTGCTGATGGTCGCAGTATCCACCCCCCACCTCACCAGGCGCACAGGGCACGCTGCGTGTGTGCCTCGCTCTTCTGCCCCTGGGCCCCGTATGACGGGCCCACCCTGCCCCCTGCTGGCCCCTGGGCACCTGAGCTGATGAGGCTGTTCAGGTCACGGATGACGCCGCGGAAGGAGGGCCTGCAGCCAGGCTCGTAGGCCATGCAATGCTGGATCAGCAGGGCCAGCTCCGTCCACTTGGGGGCAGGCAGCTGCTGCCGCTCGGCGTAAAACTGCAGCTTCTGAGGGCAGGAGGAGGGGCCGGCACCCTCAGAAGGCCCCCAGACCCTCCCATTCTCCCCAAGCTGGACTTCAGTCCGCCCTTCTGTCAGACGGGGACTCTAGAGGCAATGCTGGCACCCTGACCTTGCCGGGGTCCAGCCTGCTGATGGGCATTGGGACGCCACTGAACACCTCCCAGACTGTGGCACCGAAGCCCCACTTGTCAGCTTCCAAGCCAAGTGTCCGCGCCTCCTGGAGACACTCCGGGGCCACCCAGGGGATCCTGTCAGTGAGCACTGTGGGGGTATGGGGTCAGGGATCAGCTTCCTTGCCCCGCCAGGCCCCTCCCTCCTCCACCCCTCAGCACTTACTCTCCAGGCTCAGCACAGCAGGGCTGACCCCAGGGTCGCTCAGCTTGATGAAGGGCGGGCTCCCGTCAGCCCCCTCCCGAGCCAGAAGCACCTTCCGGGCTGAGACATTGCCATGGGGAAGGCCTTTGTCCTCCTGAGTAAGCCGGGCATAGGGAAATGCCAGGGAAGGTTTGATGAATGAATGTTCTTGCTGGTGAACTCCTACACATCCTTCAAAGTCCCTCTGGTACTGCTCAGACCATGCTCCAGCACCTTCCCTAGACTACCAGCAGCCTGTCTTGCCTCCTCTAGTCCACTCCCTATGCTAACCTGACCATGTCCCTCCCCTTCTCAAACACTGCTCTCTGACGCTGTGCCTCCCCATTGCCTTCAGGATAAAGTCAAAGCTCCTCAACCTGGCATTCAAGGCCCTTTGAGATCCAGCCCTTGCTCACTCTTCCCACGAGCTTCTCTCTTCCACATCCTCACCCTGGTTTCCTGCCAACTGAACGACCTGATGTGCCCCAGGACACACAACACACCTTTGAAGCTGCAGACCCCGGCCCAGGCTCTTCCCTCAGCCTGACATGCCCTCCTTTCTTTCTCCTCTTGATGAACTCCTACTCAACCATTAAGGCCCCAGCTCCAATGTTCCTCTTCTGGGAAGCCTTCCCCGCTGCCCGGCCTCATTGCTCACAACTCCCCCTGATATCCATGGATGACCAGCTGTTCCCTTCTTCTGCTCTTACCCCTCTGAGCCTGTACATATGCTGTTGCCTCAGTCTAAAATGCCCTCCCCTTGCACCCTTGCCAAACTCCTATCCAAACTACAGAGCCCGCAGTCATTTCCCCCTCCACTCTGTGAATGGGGGTGGAGCAGGCAGAGGAGACTCACCAGATAGTTGAGGGCATAGGCCAGCTGTTTGATCACCTGCAGCTTCCAGCTGGCGGGCACCAGGTGGCCACACTTGCGCAGATATGTGTCCAGCGCTCCCAGGTGGACAAATTCCTGCACCATGATGCCTGGTGGCAGCAGGCAGGGGCAGGGGCAGGAGGCAAGACTGCACTTGTGTTCATCAGGCTCCACCCTCACCCCACCCTCAGGGTCCCTGGAACCCTCCTACCCACCTCTCCTGCCCCCACTTCTCATCTCAGAACTATTTGCCCGAAATGCTTGGGAGGCGCCAAGCCCTCTCCGTATCCCACTTCCCGCCCTTTGCATGTTCTGTGTCTTCTGCTAGAACCTTCCCCTTCCTTCTCTTCCCTAATTCCTACTTGTCCCTGCCTCCCCAGAATCATTGCCCGACCTCCAAGCCGGGTTAGCGGCCTCTGACCACCCCCGGTGCCCTGTGCTGCCCCCTCACACACGGTCACTTATCACCCTGCCCGGCCTGCGTGGTCGACGCTGGGCTCCTGAGCTGAACTGATGGGATCGAGGCTTGGCGAGTAACGCGGCCCTTGCCCCGGTGCAGGGGGATGCAGCAACGTGAGACTGGAACCTATGTCTGTCTGACTTGGGACAACTCTGGAGGGCTGGGTGTCAGGGGGAGCCTGGAGCTGCTGCCCGAGGAGTGGCGACTGAGGGGCGTGGGTACAGGGTGCTGGAGCCCGGTGGACACGGGCCCAGCCAGGGCGGCTCCAGATAAGAATTGCTACCGCTGCTGCGGAGAGGCGCGGGGGCAGGGCGGGGGCGACTCTCACTGTCTCCAGCCATGCACACGCCATGCAGCAACACGAGGTGCTGGTACGACACTTGGCTCATCAAGCTCGCCGCTTCCAGGAATGACTGTGGAGGGGAGAAGGGTGGGGAGATGTGTGGGCTCCTCCCACTCCAGGGTGAGACCAAGGGCCCCGGCCTGCTGCTCACAAGCCTTCCTGAGGAGGAGACCACAACCCCCTCTGGCCCTGGAGTTCACCACTAGTGCACGCAGCCCTCCGTATCATGATTTTCTGATGGGGCTGGAAGTCCCCACTGGAGTCTACCTTGAATCTCTCACACTGAGTGGGAGATTTGGGGTTTGAGAGGGGTCAAGACTTCCCTGTGTGGCCCGGCCCCTGCTGATGCCTCCATCCACATCACTCCCCTCTTCTCCTTTGCTCCCTCCTCTCTGGCCCACTGGCCTCCTCGCTGTTCCTTAAACACGCCAGCCTCAGCCCTGCCTCAAGACCTTTGCACTGTCTGTTCCTTCTGTCTGGGGTGCTCTTCTGTTTGCATCTAAATTCCCTGACCCTTCCTAATTTCATGGTTTGGAGATGCTGTGGCTGCATTTCTGTCGTTTTAAGACCTTGTGTGTTTGTAAATTTCCGTGACCCTACGACCCCTCCCCAGCAGCCAGGCGCGAGGCGGGCCGGTCACCTCCATGCAGTTCCTGTGCTTGGCGTCCATCACTTTGAGCAGCACCTCCGTCTCCCGGGCCTCCCCGTCCACGGCCTCATGGCGACGGCCCCGGTAGATCTTGGTGAAGGACCCGTGACCCAGGTTCTCGTGCTGCAGGTGAGGGGGCAACAGGAGAGGCCAGTGAGGGGGCTCCCGTGGATCCCGGCCTCGTCTTACAGATGGGGAAACAGAAGAACACGTCACATGCCTGAGGTCACATCCATAGCAGAGGTGGATGTGGACCGGGTCTCTGGACCCCAACTGAGGCGCCCCCGCTTCCCAGGCTCCTCACCCACTGCAGGCTGTCGGCGGGGATCTTGTGGAATGTCATCTGGCTCAGCTGGCAGCTGGCCGGCGGCTGAGCCGCGGACGACGCAGGAGGGCTGCACCCTCTCCGGACCACAATCAGGTTGGACTTTTCTACGGAGAGGGAGTGGAGGGAGAAGGCCAGAGATCAGAGGTGACAGGTTCTCAAAGGTTTGCTCACTCGCTGGCCTAGGTCTCCCCGAGAAGCCAACCCTGAGATGAGGACTCCGGGGCTCATGGAGTATTTGGCAGAAGACTCCAGGCAGCCCCGGCGGGGGTGAGGGGGAGAGAGACAGAGAGGGAAGGAACCCTGCAGGGGGCACCAAGGAGCGGACGATGCTGTGGGCAACCTGGTGTCAGTCCTGCTAGGGATTCTGGAGGCTCCGGAGAACTCAACCTCCGAGTTGTCCCGTCCGAGGGGTTTGTCTGAGAGTGAAATTCACCCAGAGGAAGAGGCAAGAGATGGAGAGACTAACTACTAGTGACATCACTTGGATCCAGCTGTGCCTGGCTCTAGCCATGCCAGAAGGCAGATTCTATTTGATGAGCCAATAAATGACCTTTTCTTCCCTAAACCACCTTGATCTGCAGTGTCCGCCACTTGCTACACAAGAGCTGTGACAGACACAGAGACACAGAAAGGCAGGGCCCCAGATTGATCACTCAGGTTAAGGGAGAGGGTGGCTCACCTTTGGGTCTAGGGGTGCAGCAGGAGGAGAGGTTCAGTGCAACCCCATCCACATGCAGCCCCCCATCCCAGCAGGCTGCCAGGAGTTCTCGAAGACTGCTGTGGGGACGGCCAAGGCCAGCCAGGGAGAAGGTTCCTGTGGGGTCGCTGCGGATGAGGCAGCCCTTGTAATCGGGGCCCAGGGGGGTCTGCAAGGAGAAGTGGTCCCTGAGTGGGAGTGGGCAGCACCCTCTACCTCACTCCCTCTTCCTCAAGCACCACAGGCTCCTTCCGATCTCCAAGCTTTGCACATGCTGTTCCCTCCACCGGGAATGCCTTTTCCCTCCCCTTCTTCATGAAGCAAATGCTGACATCTTTCAGGTCTCAGCTCAAACATCACCTCCTCCAGGAAGCCCTCCACGCCCTCCTGGCCTGTAGCGGTGGACCGACCTGGACACAGACAGTGAGGAGGAAGCTGTCGAAATCCTGGGGGCTGCGGCGGAGAACGTAGGAGCCAGGAAGTGAGCCTCCAGTCTTGAGCTTGTTAATTGCAAAATCCAGGCTGCAGGGAAGGTAAGCAGAAGGAGTCAGAGACAGGGGGAGACAGAGATGGAGGCAGAGCAACCAGGCTGGGCCTGAGTCTAATCCTGGTCTCTCTGAAGCCCGGGACCCTCCCAGACACCGTTCCCTCCCTCCTCTCCATTTATGAAATGAGCCAAAAGTTGGGGCTTCTGCCTTGGGTGTGGGGGGGGGGGTGTCGAAACTAGAGGCTGCAGGTGAGGCCAGTAACCGTCCATCCACTCCAGGAAATGGCCCTGGGGCCCGAGAGGTCGGAGAGAGAGAAGCGCCGCCCTGGAGAGCAGGAGGGCTCACTGAGCGCCGGCTCTGCACCAGGCACTGGTCAAGCACTTGACCCCTTGTCCAGGGAGGCGAGGACACGGAGGCGCCACAAGAAGAGTGACCGGGATTCCGACCGCTGGGTCTGGCCGCGGAGGGTGGGCATGGGGCAGGTCCTTACGTGATGGGGCCGTGGCACTGCTCGGCCACCTCCTCTAGCAGCCGTGGCGGCGCCACCTCCTTGCAGAAGAAGTGCCGGGAGTCGGCGGTCAGCCGGAAGTAGCCGTCCACGAGCGCCACGAAGGACAGGGCGGCGGGCAGCCCCGGGAACTCGGCCTCCTGCGGGGACCCGCGTCAGCCCCCGCTGCGGCCCGAGGGTGCTAGGCCCGTGTCCCTGCCCTCGGGGTCAGGCGGGAGGGGAGGGGTCCAGCACCCACCAGGATCTGGTTGTCTGTCCTGGTGACGGTGACCAGACGGTGCTCCCCGGCAGGGCCAACGCGTGGGGCCTGCTTGACGCTGATGTCCACAATTTCTGGAAAGTCGCAGAAGGGCTGGAGGACCTGAGGAGGAGGTCGAGGGCTGAGGCTGGGGGTCCCGCCCCCTCTGAGCCCCCGCCCCCTCTGAGCCCCCAATCCTTCTTGGAAGCCTACACCCCACCAACACACAACCATGAGCCCCGCCCCTCTCAGCCTCGCCCAGCCCCATCCGTTTCCCGCATAGCCCTTGCCAAGCCGCGCCCCTTCTTACAATCTCACCGGTCTCAACCCGTCCCCTGACCATCCCCAAATTACTCCCTCCCACTCCTGCCTCCTCCCTCGACCTTCAGTTAGCCCCGCCCTCCCTACCTGTCCCCTCCCCTTAAGTCCCTCCCCTCGCTCAGCCCCACCCCTCACCCAGCCGGCCCCTCCCGGAGCCCTAGCACAGCGTCTCCCCTCCTTCGGCCCCCGCCCCCACAGGCCCGCCCACTCTCCTGCCCCTCCCTCCTTGGCTCCGCCCCTGCCTCAGGCTCCGCCTCCCCGGCCCCGGCCCCGCCCCACAGCCACGACCACACTCGAGCCCCTCCCTCCTTGGCCCCGCCCATCAGCCGCCCGCACCTCGAGTCCTCCTGGACTCCAGGCTATGCCGCTGTCACCAGCCACGCGGAGCAGCCCGGGCGCATCCTGACCACTGGCAGCCCCGGGGAGGCCCACGAGGAAGGTCTCGGCGGCCCTGGCCGGGTCCAGCCGCTCCAGGTCCATGATGTACTTGGCCATGAGCGAGTGCCTGTCAGCTTGGCAGGCGGCCACGCGGAGCAGGGCCCGGCGCACCGTCCTCCGGATACGCCTCCGCGTCACGAAGCTCAGGCCCTGGATCAGGTCGCGCAGGCGGGGGGGCAGGCAGACCTTGTAGCTGCGAGTGGGGGGAGCGGGCCCTCAGTGTGGGGAGGGGTCTCTTCAGGGACCAACAGGCACGTGGACGAACACGCAAACCCAGGCTTTAGTTGAGGCGCTGGAGTGCGGCCTCAGTGTGGGGGCAAGAGGCGACATGGAGACACACTGAGGGGCACACGTAGGGGAAGGGCCTGAGGGCGGAGAGGGCCACTGGGGTCCACAGGACGGACAGGGACACACACAGGCCTTGTAGCTGCAGGAGGCAGGGCACTGGAACCTCAGTGGGGGTGGGGCTGGGTCACGGGGACGCACTGCAGGCTTGTAGGTGGTGATCCCTACCTGGGGGGCCTGGGCTCTGGCCATGCCTGGCAGAGCCGTGCTGGCTCACTTCCAGGTAGGGGCTGGGCGCCACAGCCTGGAAGCCCTCACCTGATGGTCTTCAGCAGCTCCTCGGGCCGCTGGGCCTGCTCACGGGCCATCCGGGCCAGGTCCAGCACAGCCAGGCTGAGACACTCGCCCTGCTCCTTGAGGCCAAGGCCCACCGGGAGGCGGCCACTCAGCAGGTCGTCACGGTGCTGGGGGCCAGTCACAGCCCAACGTGAGCCCTGATGTCACTGTGTGGACCCCCACCGCCCGGGCTGCCACAGGGAGGGTCAGCCAAGGCCGCCCAGATGTGAGCCCTGATGTTGCCCTGCAGACCCCAACTCCTGGGCCAAGCCCCACGCGGATCCCTACCTGGGCAAAGAGGTGCTCCAGGACTGGCAGGTCAAGGATGGCACTGGCCAAGTCCTTTCGTAGCCCAAAGCGGTGGCATTTCTCTAGTCCAAACCAGTTGGGAAAGTAAAAGCTGTGGGGGGGAGGGGAGAAGTCTGGAGTGGGGGGCAGTGGGGTAGAGGACTGTGCCAAGACCTCACTGAGTCCAGGTTGTGCCCTTGACTTGCTGTGTGACCTTGGCAAGCAACCCATTGTCTCTGGCCTCAGTTTCTCATCTGTGAAATGGGCGGTGACGACGCCTTCCCTGGGGCACCCACCGGGATGTGCAGGGAGATGATAAGATTGTAGGGCTGCTGTTTTAAACTCCCATTTCCTAAGCCCTCAGCAAAAGGCATCCCATCTTGGTATCATTTAACCCAAACCTGTGGCGCCGGGCAGGGCAGGAGGGGGCGCGTTTCCTACCGGAGTCTGTAGACGAGGACCTGGGTGCCTGCGTCCTCCACGGAGAAGATGTGGCTTGGGGGGAACCAGCAGGACAGGTCCTCCGTGGCCAGAGCAAAGAGGGAGTGGTACACAGGCAGGATGGCTGAGGGAAGGCCCCATCAGCTCCCTGTCTGGTTGCCCCATCTGTCTCCTGCAGGTCTGCCGTGGCTACCCCCATAGGCTCTTTCTCACCTTCAGCTCTGACACTGTGTCCCACCCCTGCTCACATACACTCCGGGGCTCCCCATTGCCCTTAGGAGAGAAGCCATGCCCTCAGCCTACTTCTCAGGGTTCCCTGCCTGTCTCCCCAGAGCACCCCTTTCCACTGTACACTTTACCCTGAGGAATGACCAGCTGTTTCCCTAATATGCCATCACACCTCTGAGTCTTGGCATATGTGCACTCTCCTCCCTTACCAAACTTCTACTCATCCCTCAAATCCCCAGCTCCAAAGCTGACTTCGCTTGGCAGATTTTCCCGCTCCCAATCTGGGCCCCTCCCTCTGGCCAGCCTTCTAGGGATCTACTCACCACTGGCCTTAGCAGCCCAAACACACAGCTCTTCAGCTGAGTGGTCACCAAAGGAGAAAGATAGGCGCTGTGGGGGTCCAGGGCCCCGAGGGGGCAGCAGCACGTGCAGGGCACCAGCCTCCGAAGACGAGAGGCTGCAGGAGCGCTGAGATATCAAAGGCGTCTCCTCGCTCGGAGGCTCCATGAGAGCAGCCTGCCTGCACACAGAGAGAGGCAGCCCTCAGTTCCGCCAGGGGGTCAAGGCTACAAAGCTTCTAGAGGGGCTGGCAGAGCTGATGCTGGGTGAGGTGGGGATGCAGCCAGGAAAAGGGGGCAGAGAGGGACAGAGATGTGTAGAGAGAAAGAGAAAGGCAGAGATGGAGAGAGACAGAGAGAGAGGAAGCTGAGTATGCACGGTGGGTGAGGAAACATAAACCCCAGGTGAGGGCTATGCTGGGGACTGGAAGATATTCTGCACCCAAATCTCTGTGAACTCACACCCCACAATCTTGTCTGTGCCCAGGGCAGACATCTCCAGTCAATCTGCAGCCTCCACACCTATCCAGCTTCCAGCCCCTGCCCCAGGCAGGCATTAGCAATCAATCACAGGTGTATAGATTTGCCAACCAGGAAGCAGAAGGGTACTGGCTTGTGCACATGGCAGTTTAAGGGGATAGGGGTGGATGTCACTCCCTGTGGGTCTGGGGGACTAGAGCACTCCTGAGGCTGGGTCTGGAAGCTTCTCTGCACCCACTGTGATGTGTGCCCAGGGGGAAGATCCAGTCTGATAACTCAGTTGACAGGGGTCTCTGTGTCTGTCCCCCCCCCCCACCATCTCTGTCCCTTTCATTACTCCTGCCATTTAGGCCCCCATAGCAGGAAGCCCTCCCTGGGACGAGCCCAGGAGGAAACTGCCCCCTTTACTCCCAGGCATTTGACACCTGCCAACGTCCAGCTCTTTCTCACCCTGGGGGACCGTGGGTCTCAGGACCCCTGGCTATGCAGAAGGAGGGGTTGGGTTTTGGTTGAACCCCGTGAGTAAAAGGCGGGAGATGGACAAGATCCACTTAAACTGACCTGGATGAAAAAGATACAAAGACTGCTGGGTGAAAAACTATGTTCCAAAATAATAGTAGGGGGTGGGGGACAGCATTAATGAAGTTTTAACACACGCAGATTATAAATCTTGGTTGGGGGTAGGTGAAGACCCCAGGCTCTGTGTTCAAATGCCAGCCCCCTATATCCTGGCCATGGAACCCTGGCAGGGCTCCAGGGGCTAGGACTCCACCTTCTCAGCTGTGAAATGGGCTGACTCTCTTCCTGTCTCCTCGAGGTGGTGTGCTGGTTGTCAGTGTGTTTAATCCGCAGAAACGGGCACAATCCTTGGCGATGTGCCGGCTAAGCCAGACAGGAAGCTCCCCTGGCACGGTGGCGTGGCGGCTACCATAAGGGAGGGAGAGCGTGTGGCAGAGAACTGTCTCCTAGGGACACCCCGGTGTCGCCAGCTCCCAGACCAGGAATGGAAACCTCCCCGGCCCTGGGGACCCTGTCACTCCCCACAGAGGTGACCACTGTCCTATTTCTAACGGCCAACCTGAAGTTGCCCGTCTTGGCACTTTACACAACCGGAATCACATAGCGTGTCTTCTGTTCAAAATAAATCTTAAAGAAACATGACTTTTTAAATAACGAAACTAAAAAAAGAAAGTCAGAGGCGGCGTTCAGGGCCCAGACAAATGCTGGTGTTTTAACACCAGAAGCCCCGCATCCCGGCGCCTCAGGTCGCCCTACGCCGGGCCGGGAGCCGTCCCGCCCCGGGGCGGGGGGCGGGGGGGGCGCACATGCGCAGTGACTCATTCGGCGCCTGAGAGCTGGAATCGGAGGCCTAGGTTCACGCAGGACAAAGCAGGAGCCCAGAGAGGGGAGTGCTTTGCCAGAGGCCACACAGCCAGCCCGCCCAGCTCACTCTGCCTGGCGGCTTTCCTCGGAGGCCTGGAAGGTGAACCCTCCCTCGCCCCCGGCCAAGACCTTCCCCGAGGCCCGCACCCCGCCCCGTGCCTGGCCGGAGCCGGCACCACCAGCTCTTACCTGGCCGGTGGGCGCCTGGCCGAGGACGGGAGGGCAGAGCCCGGTGGCAGCGGGAGGAAAGTCCCACTCGGCTCCTTCCTGTGTGGGCCCCTCGGCTTCCTGAACTGCTGTCACTTACCGAAAGTCGTGGCCTTGTGGGGGACGGGGGCGGGGAGGCGAGACGAAGAAAGTTCCGGAAGCCTCTGCAGCGGCGGCCCTGCTCAGACAGGCTGCTGGAGACCCTAGACCTCAGAGAGTGAGGGGGACGATGACAGCACAGAGAAGGGCCCGTGTCACCTAGGGGTCTCGGCAGCCTCCGGCTCACTCTCTGTGGGGTCCTGGCAACGCCCCCATTCCTCGAGCCTCAGTTTACCCGTCTGTGGCATGTCTGGGATGGGCATCCAGCAGAACTAATTTTGCACCCAGGGGAGAGAACTGGGTTGGATCTGCCCAGGAAAGAGGGGAGGAAGTTGCCCGAGACAAAGGTAATGTTCTCCTTCGAGGTGTTCCTCCCATGAGACCCTCCTGTCAGGAGGGATAATGGCCCCTCCGGTGCCCCGTGCCCCGCGCCCGGCTAGGAACCCAGCGCAAAGCAGGCAGACCGGGCCTGCCCTCTCGCTCGCCTCACCGGTCTGGCAGGGAGGCAATTAACCCTTACGGATAATGAAGAAAACCAGAGTGACAGACAGGCTGGGGCTGGGCGTGGAGCTGGGATGTGAAGCAGGGCCAGAAAGGAGCGTTCCTGGTGGAGGCGCCACGAGGGCAAAGGCCCTAAACGGGAGTGAGCTGAGCAGTTGGAAGAGCGGAGAGGGGCCGGCACGGTGGAAGAGGTGGAGAGGTAGGGCACGCAGGGCGGTCAGAGGGGCAAGGTCTGGCTGATGGTTTTTTTAACGCCCCTGAGGCTGTCATGAGTGGAGTAGGCAGGAGGCTGGCCAGCGTCCAGGTGATACCTGGGACAGTGTCCTTAGTGGGATACGGACCCCAGAGTTCTGGGGATAGATTTTAGAGGACTCTTTCTTCCCTGTAATCCATCACAAGTCCTGGCACAAAAATGGCTTCGGTGTGTATTTTGTTGACTTTAATTCAATCACCCACAGACACTTATTGGGCACCTCCTGTGTGCGGGGCATTGGGGGCACAGCAAGGGACAGAGCAGAGCCGGTCTCTGCCTGGTGGAGCTGACAGTCTAGTGGGGGACATGAGGATAAACAAACTATTGCCCATTCACTGTTTCCGTGGCATTTGGGGCCAGGCTGCTAGCAGAGACACCCATGTCTGAGAGGGCTTCCTGGAGGAAGTGACTTTGGTACTGAAATCCCAGGACAAGTGGGATTAGCCAGATAGTGCTCTGGAGGTGTGGGGAGTTCCAGCACGGGGTGCAGCCCAGGCCGAGGCTGGGAGGCTGGATAGGGTCCGAATGTTCCTGAGGGGCAGGGGAGCAGGGACCCGGCGAGCTGAGCCTCGTTTGGGAGCATCAGTGGGGCTTTGTGGGTTGGGGGAAGGGGCACAGGTTGTGTCCTCAGCACGGCGGGAGCCGCAGCAGGCTTGTGGTACAAAGTGCTGCGTGGAGGCTTGGCCATAATATTTTTCTTTCCTTCCTGGGTGGCTTCAGCAGAGAGGAATGCAAACGTGCACTCCTGTCCCTGGCCCTGAGACAGAGGCTCCTGCCCTCCAGGGAGGACAGTGAGCTTCCAGGCCCCTGAGAGCCCCAGTGTGATGATCACCATGGTATTTTGAGAATGAGTGGAAGAGGAACAGGGTCAGGACAAAGGTGGACCCTCAGCCCCAGAGAGGGGTGCACAAAGGCACCATAAGGAGGCCCCGGGGCAGAGCGCGGAACCTGCCAAGAAGAAACTGGAGACTCAGTGGTGCAGACGTCCCCACATGTGTACTGGCAAAAAGCCCATACATACGGTCAAAGAATAAACAAATGAAACTGGAAACGAAGGTGAATTCATATCATGGATAAAATATCTCCATTATATAAGCAACTCCTAGAAAACAATAAGAAAATGCCAATAACTTAGCAGGAGGTGAACCCAGTAATCACAGAAATTGAAGTACGAATGGCTCTTAAACCCAGAAAAAGATGCTCAGCCTCACTCATAGTAGGAGAAATGCAAATTTAAAGTACAGTGAAACCATATGATCATTTCAGTGAGCAGGAAAGATCTGACAATATTCGACAGCTATTCATGATTTAAAAAAAAGAAAAACTCTTAACAAACTAGGTGTAAACAGGAACTTCCTCAAACTGATAATGAGCATCTACAACAAAAAATCTACAGGTAATATTATACTTAATGTGGAAGACTGAATTGTTTCCTCCTGAGATTGGGAACAAGATAAGGTTGTCTGTTCTGACCACTTTTATTCAGCATGGTTCTGGAGGTCAGAGCCATTGCAATACGGCAAGAAAAATGAATACAAGGCATAAAGATTGGAAAGGAGGAAGTAAAACTGCCTCTTTGCAGATGATACGATTGTTTGTGTAAATAATCCAGGGGGACGGGGCCGGCCCAGTGGCACGAGCGGTTCAGCGCGCATGCTCTGCTGTGGCAGCCCAGGGTTCGCCGGTTCAGATCCCAGGCGTGCACCGACACACTGCTTGGCAAGCCATGCTGTGGCGGCGTCCCATATAAAGTGGAGGAATATGGGCATGGATGTTAGCCCAGGGCCAACCTTCCAGGATTGGCAGATGTTAGCACAGGGCTGATCTCCTCCCCCCACCCACCAAAAAAAAAAAGAAATCCAAGGGGATTGTGGCAACTACTAGAACTAAGAAATGAACTTAGCAAGTTCACAGGTTAAAAAGTTAATATACAAAATCCAACTGAATTCTTATGTACTCTATATTCTTATATACTAGCAGCAAAGAATTGGAAAATTTAAAAAAATTTTTAAATCTCATTTGCAGCAGTACCAAAAAAGATAGAATACCTGGGGATAAATCTAACAAAAGAAGTCTAGGACTGCTACCCTAAGAACTACAGATACTGCTGAGGGAAATGGATGAAGACCTAAATAAATGGAAAGATGTACCATGTTCATGGATTAGAAAACTCAATATTGTTAAGATGTCAGTCCTCCCCAAACTGATCTACAGAGTCAATGCAATTCCAATCTAAATTCAGCAGGATTTTTTCTTTTAAGAAACTGGCAGGGTTGGCACAGTGGCACAGTGGTTAAGTTCATGCTTTCTGCGCCGATGGCCCAGGGTTTGCTGGTTTGGATCCTGGGCATGGACCTACTCACCACTCATCGAGCCATGCTGAGGTGGCGTCCCACATAGAAGAGCTAGAAAGACCTACAACTAGGATATACAGCTACGTACTGGGGCTTTGGGGAGGAAAAAAAGAGGAAGATTAGCAACAGATGTTAGCTCAGGTCCAATCTTCCTGAAAAAATAAAATAAAAAATAAAGAAACTGGCACTGTCTTGAAAATTCATATGGAATTGCAAAGGACCTAGAATAACCAAAGTGATTTTGAAAAAGAAGATAAGAGCAGAGGACTTATTCCACCTGATTTCCAGACTTATTATAGAGCTGCAGTAATCAAGACAATTTGGTATTAGTGAAAAGATAGACATATAGGTCAATAAAACAGAATAGAGAGTAAGAGACCCATATAAATACAGCCAGTTGATTTCTGACACAGATACTGAGGCAATTAAATGGAGCTAAGGAACATCTTTTCAACAAATGGTGTTGGAACACTAGATGTCGTATGGAAAACAATTAAAACCAACCCTTACCTCACACCACCCACAAAATTAACTCGAAATGGGTCATAGACCTGAGTGTAAAACCTAAAACTATAAGAATTCTAGAAAAAAAACATAGGAGAAAATCTTTGTAAACTTGGGACAGGCAAAGTTTTCTCAGCTAGAAAAAATTGATAAATTAGATTTCATCATTTTTCTCTTCAAAAGACACCACTGAGAAAACAGAGCAGCAAGACATGGATCAGGAGAAAATATTTGCAATGCATATATTAAACAAAACACTTCTATCTAGAATAAATAAATGTTACAACTCAATCATAAGAGACAAACAACTCAGTACGAAAAGGGGAAACAGATTTGAATTGACACTTCACCAAAGAGGATATATGAATGGCCAACGCATGAAAAGATGCTCAACATCATTAGCCATCAGGGAAATGCCAATCCACACCACACTGGGATGTCGCTTTACACTCACTCGAATGGGCAAAATTACAAAGACAGACAATAACAAGTGTTAGCAATGCACTGCTGGTGGGAATGCAAAATGGTGCAGCCACTGCGGGAAACAGCTTGACAGTGTCTGAAAGTGAAACATAGAGTTACTGTGTGACCCAGCCATTCCACTCCTAGGTATTTAGAGAAATTAAAGTGGATGTCCATACAAGCACTTGTAGATCAACATTCATAGCAGCTTTGTTTGTAGTAGTTTTAAACTGAAAACAACCCACATCTTAATCAGCCGGTGAATAGATGAACAACCTGTGGTCCAGCCACACAGTGGAACTCGACTCGGCAAGAACAGAGAATGAACTACGATACACAGAACAACACGAACATCCCCAAATCGTCACGCTGAGTGAAAGAAGCCAAGCGCAAAGCTCACATATCAAATTACGGAACATGCAAACTAATCTTAGTGAGCGGACGCAGAGCAGGGTTGCCTGGGAATGAAGGTGGAGAGGAGGCCCAGTGCGGGGCGCAGCGTGCCTCGGGGGTGACAGATGTGTTATTATTTTCATTGTAGTCGGGTTTCATAGACTGACACGCTTGTCAAAGCTGCAAAAAGCGTGCATTTAAAATATGTGCAGTTTAGTGCACTGCAATTGCACTTCAACAAAGTTGAAAAGATGGCGGGGGTGGGGCAGAGAGGAAAACAAGGGGTCATTTCCCACCTATGAGACTGATACAGATGGAAAGTGTGAGAACTCAGTGTATTCTCGAGGGCCTGTGGGAACAAATTCTCATCTGTTGCTGTTAGAAGTGGAAATGGCCTATGGAGAGGATCTGGCGGAAGCTGAAGAAATTGCCCTGGGACCCAGCAAGGCTCCTTCTAACAAATGAGTTCTCCAGGAATGATACCTGGACAGGGTTGTTTATTCGTGGTAGCACTCTTTGCAACAGCAATCAGCAGGAAACAACAGGAAAGCCCAGCCACAGGGGATTCGCTGAATAAACTATGCTCATGCTCAGCATGGAATATTATGCAGCTGTGCAAAAGAATAAGGCAGCTGACAATGGGAGAGGGCTTCCCAGATACTTTGTGAAGGAAAAAGCAAGGTGCAAACCCTCCTGGGCAGGAAGCTTCGGTCTGTGTAGGAAGAGAAGAGATGATGAGGATTTCTTCGTATCTGTGTAGACTCTCTACAGGGAAACATAAATAACTTGTTCCCAGGGTGGCCACTGGGGTGGGGAACTGGGAGCCATGGTGGGTGAAACGGAAACAGTTTATGTCATTTACCATATCATGCCTGTTGAATTTTGTATTTGTTAATAGTATTTAAAAGGTAAGTGTTTGATCAAAAAAGGATGTTTAACCGCACGGGATGGGAAAGGAAATGGAGTTACCAGAGCTGCTGTTCGAGGTTGACCATGAACCACAGCAGTGGCACTGATGACGGGAACAGCAAACACGTATCAAGCGCTCGCCAGTGTACCAGGTGCCCACCAAGGCTTTTCACAGGTGGCAGCTTATTGAACCCTGGAAACGATCTCAGAGGTGTGGACTGTGATCCCCAGGTACAGAGGGGGAAACCAAGGCCCCGGGAGGTCAAGTGACGGGAAGGAAGAGGCTCCGCTTCCTCTTCTCACGGCGCCCGAGGACCTCCCCCCATTAGGCAGCGAAAACGGAGACGAGGGTCTGGTTTCTGACCGAGGGTGGGGGCCATGGCGGCATGGGGCCAGCAGACACCCTTCCCCACTTTAGTTTTCTCCCCAGCACACATCATGCTTTGCCGTGGCACATATTTTTCTTATCCATCTTGTTTTTGTCCATTTCCCTGCCTAGTATGTCACCTCCCCCAGGGCTGGAGTATTTGGTTGTCCTGGTCACAGCTGTGTTCCCAGTGCCTGGCACACAGTAGGTACACATGAATGAATGAATGAATGAATGAATTCGGAGGAGGAGCCTTGGGAGGGTTGGGAGCAGGCACAGTTGGGGACAGGAGAGGGGGCGGTGGGAGGCCAGGGCCTGGGAGGCGTGGCACCTGGGTTCAGGGGAGTGGGTGGCTTGGGGCATCTTGGGTACAAAGGGACAGGAGCAGAATCTCCGCGACTCCCGGGTCTTCAGCAGAGCCCTGGAGGGGTGGAGGTGACAGCAGCCGAGATGGGGAAGGGAGTGACAGGATGGGCAAAGCTCCGAGGGTGACAGCCGCGACAGGCGGAAGGGGCGGCTCGGCCGGCTCTTTCGGTGACGCCAGCCGGGCGCGGCCAGGGAGCCCGGATTAACAACCGGGCGCCTTCAAGGTCTCGCCGAAGAAGGCAGACAGGGAGGACAGGGACCCCAGGCGCGGCCTCGCCCACCAGGAACGCGGCCGGGCCTGGCTGAGCGGCGGTCACGCGCGCAGGGCCGGCGCTGGCGGTCGGCGGTCCGGGACCGGCTCGGATCCCGGGCGGGGCGGGGCCGAAGTTTCAAACGTGAAAGCTTTGTAACAAACATTAGGCAGCACCCCGCCCCCGCGTCCCCCTCTCCAGCCGCGGGGTCACCCTGACCTCCGCCTTGGAGATAAACGCGCCGGGCCCCAAGGCGAGGCTGCGCCTGGACCCTCCCTCTCCTCTGCCTCCCCTCCCGTCCTTCTCCGGCCCTCCCAGGACTCGATTGGTGCCCCAGGCACCGCCCTGCGTTTTCCGGGACCTCTTTCCACCCGCCCTTCCCCTCCCCGCAGCCTGGGGAAACTGAGGCCCAGGGCAGTGAGTCTACGCAGGGCCCCTGCCTCCCCAGTCCAAACAATTATACACCATTAAATCTCACAACAATCCTACGAGCTTGGGACTATTATCATTAGCCTCATCTTACGGATCCGGAAACTGAGGCCAGAGCGGCGATGCGCCAGGGAACTATCGGTGGGAATCGAACCTGTGTCATCCCCCCGTCCCCATCCCCCTGCACCAGTGCCCCGGCTATTGGCCTCGGCCGGGCAGAGCCAGGCGAGGGCTCTGCTGCCACCTAGTGGACACTCCCGGCAGCGCCGTTCGGATGGAGTCGCCCGCCTCTCGCCTGGCCTCCGGCCCAGGGAGGGGGCCAGAGCCAGAAGGCGGCAGGCCTGGTCCCCTGACCGCCCCCTCCAACATGCTCCTCTCCCGCCAATTTTCCGAATCACAACTTAAGTGTCCCCAGGAAGGCACTGGCTAACTGATCTCCTCCTGCCCATGTGGGCTCACAACTTTAGTGCAAAAAGAACCGAGACGATAATTTGAACCCACACGGAAAACCAAAGACCACAGATAAAGGTAATTCTGTAATTTTGACAGACAGCATGAATGCATATTTCTCCTCTCTCTGTCTCACCGGATCTAAGATTGTAATATATTTGACAATAACAGCACAAAGAAGGTGGGGGAGCAAAGCCGTCTTGGAGTAAGGAGACGACACCAGGTGACAATTCTAACCCCCAAACACACAGGAAGAGAAGCAGAAGCGGGAAAGGAGAAAATTAATATAACAACCTCTGTAAGGATACACTTGCTCTCCTTTATGTTCTCGGATTCTTTACCAGACATACCATTGTATGGAGTAATAATTATAACAATGTGTTGTTGGGTTTGTAACATACGTAGCTGTAATATGTGTAACGATAATAGCACAATGATGATGACGATAGGACAAAAAGGGGAAGAGGAAATGAGCTATATAGGAGTACCATTTCTCTATCTCATGAAAATTAAGGCAGCATAAATCTGAGGCAGATTCTAAATCAAGAGGTATATATTCAGTCCTAGAGGAACTACAAAGGAAATAACTCAAAAATATAGTGAAAAAAATCACTAAAGGAATTAAAATGTTACACCAGAAAATAGCCACTTCATGCAACCGGAAGCAGTAAAGGAAGAATAGGAGACAACAACAACAAAAAAAGACAGGAAACATATACAAAACCAAAAATAAAATGGCAGGTATAACGTTAAGATGACAATACTCCCCAAATTATCTACAGATTCAATGCGATCCCTACCAAAACCCCAGCTGGCTTCTTTGCAGAAATTGACAAGCTGATCCTAAAATTCATATGAATATTCAAGGGACCCAGAATAGCCTTTTTGATTTTGAAAAAGATCAAAATTGGAGAATTCATACTTCCCAATTCAAAACTTACTACAAAGCTACAGTAATGAAAACAGTGTGGTACTGGCATAAGGACAGATACACAGATCAATGGAACAGAATTAAGAATCCAGAAATAAACCATTCATTTTCTTTTTTTTTTTTTTTTTTTTTTTTTTTTTTTTTTTTAAAGATTTTATTTATTTATTTTTTCCCCCCAAAGCCCCAGTAGATAGTTGTGTGCCATAGCTGCACATCCTTCTAGTTGCTGTATGTGGGACGCGGCCTCAGCATGGCCGGAGAAGCAGCGCGTCGGTGCGAGCCCGGGATCCGAACCCGGATCGCCAGCAGCGGAGCGCGCGCACTCAACCACCAAGCCACGGGGCCGGCCCAAACCATTCATTTTCGATAAGACAATTCAAAGGGGAAAGAATAGTTTTTTCAACAAATGGCACTGGAACAACTGGATCTCCACATTCGAAAGAATGAAGTGGAGGGGCCGGCCCAGGGCGTAGTGGTTGGGCTAATCTTCCTCACACAAAAAAAAAAGAAAGTGAAAAGACAACACACAGAATGAAAAAAATTTGCAAATCATATATCTGATAAGGAACTATACATCTACAGAATAAACAACTCAATGATATTTAAAAAATGCCTCAACTAAAAAATGGGCAAAGAATTTGAATAGACATTTCTCCAAAGAAGATAACAAATGGCCAATAAACACTTGAAAAGATGCCCAACACCACTAGCCATCAGGGAAAAGTAAATCAAAACCACAATGAGATCCACTTCACACCACTAGGATGGTTGTAATAAAACGTGTTGATGAGGATGTGGAGAAGTTGGAACCCTCATACATTGCTGATGGGAATGTAAAATGATGCAGGCTTTTTAAAAAACAGTCTGGCAGTTCCTCAAAAGATTAAACATAGAATTACCATATGGCCCAGCAATTCCACTCTTAGCTATATACCCAAGAGATGTGAAAACATACATTGACACAAAGATTTGCATGCAGATGTCATTATCTCATTATTCACAATAGCCAAAAAGTGGAAACAACACAAATGTCCATCACTGATGAATGGCCACATATGCCCATACAATGGCACATTATTTAGCAGTAGGAAGAAATGAAGTACTGACCCATGATACAACGTGAATGAACTCTTAAAACATTACGCTAAGTGAAAGTAGCCAATCACAAAAGACCTCATTTTGTATGGTTCCAGTTACCTGAAAAGTCTAGAACAAGCAAATCTATAGAGGCAGAAAGTAGATTCCCAGTTGCCTAGGGCTGGGGGAGGGGAGGGAATGGGAAGAGACTGCTAACGGTAAGGGGCTTCTTTTGGGGATGATGGAAATGTTCTAAATTTTATGTTGATGGTTGCACAATTGTGCATATACTAAATACATATGTACATGTGTCTGTGAACGTGGTAAAACGATTGAATTGTACAATTTAAGTGGGTGAATTGTATAGTGTGCGAACTCGATCTCAATGAAGCCGTTATCAATTTTTTAATCAAAAAAAGAAAAATGCTACTTGGACTCAGATGTCACCTCATCCAAGAGCCCTCCCTGCTAAAATAAACCCTCCAATTTATCCTCTTTCCTCTTTGTTTTTCTTCACAGCCTGACATCGTGAGGTGTTTCTGGTTCTTTTCTTTTCCACCGCCAGTCTCCCCTCCAAGATCACCTCTTTTTTCCTGAGGAAATTGCTAAGCCCGAGGCCCCTCAAACGTGGGGACTGCACCTTGATCAGTTCCAGCGGCCCACTCCGACCCCATGCTGCTCCAGGATCTGTACTGGAGGCCAGCGGATGGCGCTTGGATCTCTGCTACTACGAACCACAAATCAGACCCCCAGGATAATCATAAGCAGCATTCCAGCGCCTCATGAATGTTAGCGCTTGTTGTTTTTTGTTTTTGTCTTTGTTTTTTGAGGAAGATTGGCCCTGCGCTAATATCTGTTGCCAATCTTCCTCTTTTTTCCTTTTTCTCCCCAAAGCCCCAGTACATAGTTGTGTGCCATAGTTGAAGAGCTGTAGCTCTTCTTTGTGGGACGCCTCCGCAGCATGGCTGGACCAGCGGAGAGTAGGTCAGCGCCCCGATTCCGAACCAGCGAACCCCGGGCCGCGGCGCCGAAGCGGAGCCCGCGACCGTAAGCGCTGCGCCTCGGGGCCGGCCCCTGAGCGCTTGTTAATTGTTGATTGCTCTGCGCCTGGCGTTTTATATCGGTCATCTCATCTCATTATCGTAACATTTCTAGGGGAAAAACACTAGTATTATTCTCATTCTACAGATAACTCTCAGGTGTGTGGCCCGAGACCTCTGTAACACACCTCCAGGGCAGAAGAGGCCTCGAGAGGGTAGAAGTGCCGCCAGCGCATCACAAACACCGCGGCCACCCGAAGTCCGGTTCTATGCATACACATCCGGCAGAAGAAGAACGTTCGAACCTGCCACCGAGATCCCCTTGAGTGCCTACGACTCCCGGCGTGCCCCGCGCGCCGACGCTCCTTTAAGGCCGCGGCGGAACAGGCGGGCCTAGCCGCGCTGCCTCTTGGGAGTAGTAGTCCCGCCGCGAAGGTTGTGAGAGGTTGGTGGATCCGGAGCCAATGAAGAAGCAGATCTTGTTGAGCGTGGGGTCGAGAAGCCAATGGGCGCGCGGCTTCGGGAGGGGGGGGGACTTCCGGCAGAGAAGTCTTGCTGAGCGGCTGCGCGAGGGCGGCCACTTCCTTTTGTGGGTGGCGGCGAGTGTGGAGAGAGCGACATGAAGGCGTCCGGCACGGTATGGCCGGCGCGGCGGGGCCGGGGACCGGGAGACGCGGTGCAGACCCAATGGGAGGCCCCGGGAGGTTGGCGCGGGCCGCGTCGGAGGGTTGCGCTTCCAGCTGGGTCCCGCGCGGCCGCGCGCCGCCGCCCCAGGTGTAGCCAACATGGCGGCCACTGCGGGCGCCGCGTGGGAAGGCGGGCGCGTGGCCCTGCCGCCGCGGGGATCGCGGGGGCCGAGGAGGCCGGGCCTCCTTTCCAGGGCGAGGGACGCATTGCGCGGCGTGGAGGCTCGCGCCACGAGACCTTGTCGAGCATCCGAGCCTGTTTCCCCGTTTGCAAAGCGGAGCGGGGTGGGGGCGGCAGTAGTATTCCTTTTCTCTCCATATGGTTGTGAGAAGTAGAAAAAGTATAAACCCGAGCCGACACGGGGAATGCGAGTCTTATTTTTGGCAAGCGCTGGGCAAAACCAGAGGGCGTTATGGCGCACAGATGGGAGAGCAGGCCCTGGAGAGAAGCAGGGAGAGTGGGTCCTCTGCAGCTCGCCAGCCTCTTTCCACGTGGGAAAGAGGCCGATGAGTCAGGTGGAGAGGTGGAGGCAGGACACAAGTTTGCGGTATTGGAGGCTGTTTTCTATAGAAGTTAGTTGGAGGGTGGCGAGTCGTCGACGGAAGTGACTCCTTGCTACTATCTCAGGGCTTGGACCGGGCAGACGTGCTCACCTTTGCGTCTGTGTAAACGGGAGCTTGCGCTTGGGAGTGCAGACCCCTTGGACTGCCCCTGGGAACACTGAGGCAGCTCAAGTCGCATGGCAGCAGTCCAGGGAGACCAGGGCTGGGGAGGGAACTGGATTCTTGTCCTGGTTTTGCCTGGGGTGGGCTGTGAGATCTTGGGCTGGTCACTGTCTCGAGACCCTAGAGTGAAAGAGGGAGTTGGCAAAACGTCGTGAGCGGCAGAGATGTCGTGGAGGAGGGAGGCTGCCTGACTCTTCAGGGCTTGAGGCTGCAGGTCTAGGCGGCAGCTTTTCTCACGAGTAAAAAGAGAAAGGGAAGGACGGTGGGGTTGACAGCCCCGCCCAGCTTTCCTGAGCTGGGCAAAGGGTGCCCGGGCATTTCTGTTAGTCCTTCCTGCCCTCACTCCCTTTCATGGAGAAGGCCCAGGCAGGGGCATGACCCACAGTCACCCAGATTCCACACGGAGTTCCTGAGATGGGACCCTCCCTTCTCAACGCCCTGATGCACTTGTCACCAGCCCCGGGGTGCTGGCCCCACCTCACCTCTGTTTCTGTTTCAGCTGCGAGAGTACAAGGTGGTGGGGCGCTGCCTGCCCACCCCCAAGTGCCGCACGCCGCCACTCTACCGCATGCGCATCTTCGCACCTAACCATGTCGTCGCCAAGTCTCGCTTCTGGTATTTTGTGTCTCAGCTGAAGAAGATGAAGAAGTCTTCGGGGGAGATTGTCTACTGCGGGCAGGTACAGGATGTCTGAGATGAGGTGGGGTTCGGAGTGGATTTACACCTTCCCGTGGGGCATCCCTCACCCCATGGAGTTCCAGACTTAACGGTTCCTGGTGCTGTTTAGGCCCCGGGCAGCCGTGACTGGTGTACCGGGACACCTTGGCTGAGGCCGGCACCCCTCCTGGGCTTCCCCAGTAAAGTGGGGAGGGATGCTGTCACCTGGCCACATCTGCTTTGATGGGCCCTGGGCTCTGCACCAGGAGTCGTTCTGGGAGGGTCTGGAGCTGGGTTGGGGCCTGGGCTGTCTGCGTCCTTTGCTGTCACTGTGGATTTCTCTCAGACAGCAGGTTCTTCCGGATGCCTGAGGTTCGGAGACTGGGAACCCGGCACGAGAGAGGCCTGGGGCTGGGCTGGCCTGGCCTCGGAGCCCCTACCCCTGGCGGGTAGGGGAAGTGGAAGTCCGTTTGCTGCTCTCACCGCAGCCGCTCCCCTTTCTCTGGCAGGTGTTTGAGAAATCCCCGCTGCGGGTGAAGAACTTCGGCATCTGGCTGCGCTACGACTCCCGCAGCGGCACTCACAACATGTACCGGGAATACCGGGACCTGACCACCGCGGGCGCTGTCACCCAGTGCTGTAAGCCACTGCCCCTGGCCCACTCCCTTGAGTAGACTTGCGTCGCAGGCGTCTTCGGCCTGGTGTGACACACACGCCACAGACTGAGGCGGGACAAATGCAGGAGGCTTCCGGGGGTGGTGACATGGGGCTCAGGAGAGGTGTTTGCTTAGAGGGCAGGGGCAGCAGAGAGGAGGCTGCAGGCACTCAACGCCTTTTTCTGGAACCTGGCAGCAGCAGGTGGACCTTGGGGATTGGAGGGTGGGGTTCTCGAGTCCTTCCCGAGCAGGCTCACTCACCCACCACACCTGATTCTGGAACCTCCCTTTCCGGGTCGGCCCTGCAGGTAGTACAGCACCCACCCAGACCCTCGTCCGGCCGCTGTCTGGTGCTGATAGCCCCAGGTGCTCCCAGAGTGGGGCGCCTGCCCGAGCCGAAACCCAAGCACCTAAACCCAAGAACTGCTGTTGCTTGTAGCAGCGGTTTAAACAGAGGTGCTAACAGCAAGCGGATCTCGTCGCCTTTGGGGGGCTGTGGCCGTGCCCCTCAAAGTGAATTTGAAGGTTCTACACCCCTGGTGGCCAGAGGCTGTGGCCATCCAGTCCCCAAGTTGGGGCCCCTCGGCGGGCATGTGATGGGAGTTTTGGGGAATGCCCAGACCCCAGAGTACACGGTCACACCACCCCCTCCTGCTGCCTGCAGACCGAGACATGGGCGCCCGGCACCGCGCCCGGGCCCACTCGATCCAGATCATGAAGGTGGAGGAGATTGCGGCCAGCAAGTGCCGCCGACCGGCAGTCAAGCAGTTCCACGTGAGTGCCCTGGGGGCCGTGCTGGGGGGCTGGGCTGAGGGGGCTCCCCCGGAACGCTAAGCTGGCCTGGCTGCCCCCCAAGCCTTGGGAGACACAGAGGCAGCAGGTCTGACGCAGGAGCCTGGGCGGGGAGAGGGGGGCCGCGCCTCGGTGAGCCCCGGAGGACAAGGTGAGAGGCTTCCCTCCCCGCACTCTGCTCCCTCTTATAGGACTCCAGGATCAAGTTCCCGCTGCCCCACCGGGTCCTGCGTCGCCAGCACAAGCCACGCTTCACAACCAAGAGGCCCAACACCTTCTTCTAGGGGGGCGGCCCTCCCCGACCCCCAGGTCTGCCCAAATAAACTTCTTGGGAAAACCGGGGTGTTCAGACACACCTGTTTTTTTTACATGTCCTACAGAACTCCACAGGGCACAGCTGAGCTGTGAGTTCTTGGCTCGGGGAGGGGTCCTCTCCTGGGCTGGGACCTGGACTCCTCTCTATCTCCACGGTGGGCCCCCCCCGGCAGTGGCGAGGGCCCCAGCCCTGAGCGCTCTCCAGCCCGCTCAGCTCCTGGGGCTCCGTGCGGTGAGGCTATCACGGGCAGGGCTTGGAGCCAGAAGGCTCAGTTTTCAGAGCCGTCAGGCAGCCCACTGCTGTGAGCTTTGGGGTGTGCTGCAGGCCACAGGTTTGGCCCCCAGATCTGTCCTGCTTGCCTTGTTAGACCCAGGCCTCAGCTTGGTGCATTGCTGCTGGTGGGGCGATGAGGCAGGCAGACCCTGGGGCATCAGGGTGATGGGGTTGGGTCATTCCACCTGGGGCTCCCCCCTAGAACCCACATTCTTGGTTCCTAGATCCTCAGAGCAGACACAGGCACCCAGGAGGGCCCGGGCCTGCTGGGCTGGAAGGAGGCCCCTTGAATGGCATGGCCCTAATCCTGCCGGAGAGATCCAGAGCTCTAGGGGGTGGCCTCCTCCAGGGAACCACTTAAGCCCTGGGGAATTCCAGGCATGAAGCTAATCCCATCCCAGGGGGTGACCGGCCGAGGCCCAGCTGGGAGCTGAGACCTTGGCAGTGCTTGTCCTTGGCATGTCGCCCTGGGCAGCCCTGACCCTCTGAGCCTGGGTGTCCTTGTGAGAAGGTCAGGGCTTCAACCACGCTGACTCAGTTGACTACTTGAAGAGTCCCCAGCATGAAGGTGCTGGGAGCACCGGTCACTCAGGACCTGCCTTGTGTTCCAGAGAGCCAGCTTGGGCTTGGGAAGAAGCTGAGGCACAAAAAGGCACTGTGGGCTGGGGGTCGGTTGGGGACACAGCCAGGTCTGGAGTATC